GGCATATTAAACATTTCTATACTGTTCATTATACACCTATCCCCCGATTTACACGGTACTTGTTTTACACGTTTTCGCTTTTAACACGGTTTTCCAAATAAGTTTTTTTTTTTGTTTTTATCGCACTATACTAAATGCTACTGTGATTGAACACATGCGTTGTGTACACATCTCATGAGGAATCCCGAGCTTATGTGCTGACTACATATTTTAACCTGTCAATGCATTTTATTTTTATTTCTGTGTACACCTATCCCCCGATTTACACGTTTTTCTCAGGAACGTATCTACCGTGTAAATCGGGGGATAGGTGTATAGATAAATAACATAAAACTTTGAGAGCACCAATTGGATATAAAATAAGGAAGACAAAACGAGGCTTTGGAGGAGTTTCCTTAATCTAGTGCTAGGTAGGGTGGCATGACAGCTTGAATCTCCCATGAGAGACCCAGGTGTCTCCTGGAGGTGGCCTCTCATTAGAGACTGTGTTTGGGTAGAAAGATTCCTCATCTTCTTATCTCCACTCAACAATCATATCAGGATATCAAGTCTGTAGAGCTTGTTGATGGGGTCTGTGCCGGGGATGAGTAGAACTCATCAATGTCTTCTTTCTTATCTCCACTCAACAATCATATCAGGATATCAAGTTTGTAGAGCTTGTTGATGGTGTCTGTGCTGGGGATGAGTAGAACTCATCAATGTCTTCTTTCTTATCTCCACTCAACCATATCAGGATATCAAGTTTGTAGAGCTTGTTGATGGTGTCTGTGCTGGGGATGAGTAGAACTCATCAATGTCTTCTTTCTTATCTCCACTCAACAACCATATCAGGATATCAAGTTTGTAGAGCTTGTTGATGGTGTCTGTGCTGGGGATGAGTAGAACTCATCAATGTCTTCTTTCTTATCTCCACTCAACAACCATATCAGGATATCAAGTTTGTAGAGCTTGTTGATGGTGTCTGTGCTGGGGATGAGTAGAACTCATCAATGTCTTCTTTCTTATCTCCACTCAACAACCATATCAGGATATCAAGTTTGTAGAGCTTGTTGATGGTGTCTGTGCTGGGGATGAGTAGAACTCATCAATGTCTTCTTTCTTATCTCCACTCAACAACCATATCAGGATATCAAGTTTGTAGAGCTTGTTGATGGTGTCTGTGCTGGGGATGAGTAGAACTCATCAATGTCTTCTTTCTTATCTCCACTCAACAACCATATCAGGATATCAAGTTTGTAGAGCTTGTTGATGGTGTCTGTGCTGGGGATGCTGAGTAGAGCTCATCAATGTCTTCTTTCTTATCTCCACTCAACAACCATATCAGGATATCAAGTTTGTAGAGCTTGTTGATGGTGTCTGTGCTGGGGATGAGTAGAACTCATCAATGTCTTCTTTCTTATCTCCACTCAACCATATCAGGATATCAAGTTTGTAGAGCTTGTTGATGGTGTCTGTGCTGGGGATGAGTAGAACTCATCAATGTCTTCTTTCTTTTCTCCACTCAACAATCATATCAGGGTATCAAGTTTGTAGAGCTTGTTGATGGTGTCTGTGCTGGGGATGAGTAGAACTCATCAATGTCTTCTTTCTTATCTCCACTCAACAACCATATCAGGGTATCAAGTTTGTAGAGCTTGTTGATGGTGTCTGTGCTGGGGATGAGTAGAACTAATCAATGTCTTCTTTCTTATCTCCACTCAACAACCATATCAGGGTATCAAGTTTGTAGAGCTTGTTGATGGTGTCTGTGCCGGGGATGAGTAGAACTCATCAATGTCTTCTTTCTTATCTCCACTCAACAACCATATCAGGGTATCAAGTTTGTAGAGCTTGTTGATGGTGTCTGTGCCGGGGATGAGTAGAACTCATCAATGTCTTCTTTCTTATCTCCACTCAACAATCATATCAGGATATCAAGTCTGTAGAGCTTGTTGATGGTGTCTGCTGGGATGAGTAGAGCTCATCAATGTCTTCTTTCTTATCTCCACTCAACAATCATATCAAGATATCAAGTTTGTAGAGTTTGTTGATGGTGTCTGTGCTGGGGATGAGTAGAACTCATCAATGTCTTCTTTCTTATCTCCACTCAACAACCATATCAGGATATCAAGTTTGTAGAGCTTGTTGATGGTGTCTGTGCTGGGGATGAGTAGAACTCATCAATGTCTTCTTTCTTATCTCCACTCAACAACCATATCAGGATATCAAGTTTGTAGAGCTTGTTGATGGTGTCTGTGCTGGGGATGCTGAGTAGAGCTCATCAATGTCTTCTTTCTTATCTCCACTCAACAACCATATCAGGATATCAAGTTTGTAGAGCTTGTTGATGGTGTCTGTGCTGGGGATGAGTAGAACTCATCAATGTCTTCTTTCTTATCTCCACTCAACCATATCAGGATATCAAGTTTGTAGAGCTTGTTGATGGTGTCTGTGCTGGGGATGAGTAGAACTCATCAATGTCTTCTTTCTTTTCTCCACTCAACAATCATATCAGGGTATCAAGTTTGTAGAGCTTGTTGATGGTGTCTGTGCTGGGGATGAGTAGAACTCATCAATGTCTTCTTTCTTATCTCCACTCAACAACCATATCAGGGTATCAAGTTTGTAGAGCTTGTTGATGGTGTCTGTGCCGGGGATGAGTAGAACTAATCAATGTCTTCTTTCTTATCTCCACTCAACAACCATATCAGGGTATCAAGTTTGTAGAGCTTGTTGATGGTGTCTGTGCCGGGGATGAGTAGAACTCATCAATGTCTTCTTTCTTATCTCCACTCAACAACCATATCAGGGTATCAAGTTTGTAGAGCTTGTTGATGGTGTCTGTGCTGGGGATGAGTAGAACTCATCAATGTCTTCTTTCTTATCTCCACTCAATCATATCAGGATATCAAGTTTGTAGAGCTTGTTGATGGTGTCTGTGCCGGGGATGAGTAGAACTCATCAATGTCTTCTTCTTCTTATCTCCACTCAATCATATCAGGATATCAAGTTTGTAGAGCTTGTTGATGGTGTCTGTGGCTGGGGATGCTGAGTAGAGCTCATCAATGGATGAGTCAATAATGACTTCTTCTTTCTTATCTCCACTCAACAATCATATCAGGATATCAAGTTTGTAGAGCTTGTTGATGGTGTCTGTGGCTGGGGATGCTGAGTAGAGCTCATCAATGGATGAGTCAATAATGACTTCTTCTTTCTTATCTCCACTCAACAATCATATGAGGGTATCAAGCTTGTAAAGCTTGTTGATGGTGTCTGTGCTGGGGATGCTGAGTAGAGCTCATCAATGGATGAGCCAATACAGTCAATGATGTCTTCTTCTTTCTTATCTCCACTCAACAACCATATCAGGGTATCAAGCTTGTAGAGCTTGTTGATGGTGTCTGTGCTGGGGATGAGTAGAGCTCATCAATAGATAAGCCAATACAGTCAATAATGTCTTCTTCTTCTTATCTCCACTCAACAATCATATCAGGGTATCAAGTCTGTAGAGCTTGTTGATGGTGTCTGTGGCTGGGGAATAGTAGAACTCATCAATGGATGAGTCAATACAGTCAATGATGTCTTCTTCTTTCTTATCTCCACTCAACAATCATATCAGGGTATCAAGCTTGTAGAGCTTGTTGATGGTGTCTGTGCTGGGGATGAGTAGAGCTCATCAATGGATGAGTCAATACAGTCAATAATGTCTTCTTCTTTCTTACCTCCACTCAATAATCATATCAGGGTATCAAGCTTGTAAAGCTTGTTGATGGTGTCTGTGCTGGAATGCCGAGTATAGCTCATCAATAGATGAGTCAATACAGTCAATGATGTGGTTTGGGGTCGCAGGTTGACACTTAGTACATAGTACCTTGTAACCATTCTGTCATTGTCCGTAGATGACCAGACTTAAGTCTGGAAATCAAAGACTGTAAACCCTTCATGACTTGGTCTGACATGGCAGTCTCCAATAAGAGCATACCTCCAGAAGAGTCCAGATTTAACTGTGTTTTAGACTACGGACTCTCATGGGAGACTCTATAGGTTGAGACAACAAACTTCATTAATAAATGCATATCTTTAATGAATCTCTGTGACAATTAACTACAAGGTAATAAGACCAAATCCAAATAAATTATGATGTTTCAGTAACAGTGTTGTTACTGAAGCGTCTAATTTATTTGGATTTAGTCTTATTACCTTGTTTTTTTTTGCCCATCCTTAGTACACGTGGTACAGGCCATGATAATCATGGTGGGTAGAAGTACGAGGCAACTGCTTTTACTGTAAGTGCGCCACATGTCTACACATGTGAAAAGGAGTTCGACTTTGCACTGACAAATGTGCCAGAGCCCCGTTTGGTTACTTGCACTCGCTGGGGGGGTTAGACTTTTGCAAGAATCGGGGGGCATCGGGGGAGCATTTTTTTCAATCAGAAAAAAGTGCCCAATGCGGAATCGAACCCGGGTCGTAGCGATCGAAAACCAACGGTTTAGACCATCCTTCCACCGGCCCCTTATTACCTTGTAGTTCTAATCTATATCCTAAAATGTACCCTTTCATCTTTGACAATGAGTATATGTATTCAACAGGGAAAACTTCTGTTTTATCAACTGTACGACAAGTTATTGCTACTCACCAACTCAGCCTTCCTGTCAGACAGAGGATGGGGATCCTGGAGCACCTCTATCTGGCTGAGTTGGAAATCTCCAAGTCCTTGGAGGTACACCGGATTGTTGACGTCCAGCGTGGTACCACGGACATAGCCGGACACTTTCAGGGTTCCCTCTGATGTCTAACACACACCATACATCTTGTCATCTTTATAAATACAAGGTAATAAGACTAAATAAATAAATAGTGTGTGATGTTTCAGTAACAACGTTGATAAGGAACAATTTGGATTATAGATTATAAACACAAGGTAATAAGACCAAATCCAAATAAATAAATAGTGTGTGACGTTTCGGTAACAGCGTTGTTACCAACTTCAGACAAAAGTACTGAATGAAAAAGGTAATAGCCTACAGCACCCGGTGTTCCCAGGTGGTTACCCTCCCAAGTACTGATAGGGCCTCACATTGCTTAACTTCGGTGATCGGACGAGAACCTGTGTTTTCAATGTCTGAAGATGGTAACAACACTGTTACTGAAACGTCACACACTATTTATTTATTTGGATTTGGTCTTATTACCTTGTGTTCAGTAACAACGTTGTTGCCATCTTCATATATATGTGGTGACCACACTTTGCTTCAGCGAGCGCGGACAAAGTTTCAATACACATACGGGTGGTAGTGTGGCGACCTCACTACACCTCGGCAACCGCGAGCTGGGAGAACACGTCACTACGCATGCGCGGGCGTCATCCGGGACTTCCTGGCCACTCGCATCATCAACAACAAGGCTAGCTCCCAACGGCTGTTACTTCTTTTCTCTTTATATATTTCTGGCTTTAAATAAATTAATTATAATTTTATCAGCGGCCTTTCCACAAGCCACACCAACACGCACGCAACCATCCCCATATATAATCTATAATCCAAATTGTGCCATATCATCTTTGACAAGACACAATTCGGATTAAAAACACAAGGTAGTAAATAGATCTATTCAACAGAAGCCACTTCTCCCAGTAAAACAGATACTAGAATTAAGGGTCATTATCCCAAAACCATGGTCTCTAGGTGGACACTTCTCAATTTGCCGGTGTTGTGGCTTTGTTACTGACCTATGTCCGCTAGTTTGCAGAGATGGTCAATAGATGGCACTAAGTTTTAGGGTCTGTTTTGGCAGGAGAGTCGACTTTTATAGTTCTTTAATTAAACAGACTTTAATTCAACACTTGTTTTCAAATCTATATTAGCCGATTTACTATAATTTATATGACTTTAATTCAAAGGGAAATTATGATCCATGCTGAATTAAAGGTGTGGACTATATATATATATACAGTTAAACCTGTCTATAGCGCCACCCTCTAAATAGCGCTTCCCTCTCTATAGCGCCCGATTTTAAATATTAAAATGGAAACATTTTACATTAAAAGTGACCTGTCTATATCGCCCCTTCTAAATAGCGCCTTCCTCTCTATAGGGCCCGATTTTAAACATTAAAATGTAAACATTTTACATTAAAAGTGACCTGTCTATAGCGCCCCTTCTAAATAACGCCTTCCTCTCTATAGCGCCCGATTTTAAACATTAAAATGTAAACATTTCACATTAAAAGTGACCTGTCTATAGCGCCCCCTCTAAATAGTGCCTTCCTCTCTATAGCACCCGATTTTAAACATTAAAATGTAAACATTTTACATTAAAAGTGACCTGTCTATAGCACCCTATTTTGGTGAGTTCCAAGAGGGGGTGCTATAGACAGGTTTAACTGTAAATATATTTTTAAAAAAAGAGCATAAAAAAATTTTATTTAAATTTTTGATCATAGAAAATGCTATGTGACATTGTTCCAGTGCAAATTTGTGCCTAGATCAATTGAGACCATAAACCCTCAAGAACATATTCTAACAAGAAGAGAGTAGAGAAGACAGCTTGCACCATGCTAACAAGGGACAACAGCCCGAAACGTGTTTAGCTTTTCTTGATTAATCAAGAATGGATATTTGGCCAATTCTGTGGGAGAAGGAGGGGATAATTTACAAATCAATGTAAATAGTTGATACTTATTCCAACAGATGGCGCAAGCCATCAGCAACTTTTAGTTACACAATCAGGAGATGCCTTTTCTCCTGGGCTCAGCTGGCCATGCTGATAGTACCCTGTAAGAGCTCCAAGGATACTGTCAAATTATATTGACAAATATTTGCACTCTTATCTCAGGTTTTAGTGGAAAGAATTTTGTTATCGTTTGTTAGTGAACCAATCTCTCCCGCCTTCTCATTGGATGAATGTGGCCATGTTTGTATATAAAGGGGGGCTATGGTATTGCGTCGAGTAGAGTGTGGTTGATTATCGTGTGGAGACGCTTAAAGTGTTCTCTGCATGCTTTATCCGTGTCTGGCTATCTCCTCACATACCTGTGTGACCCCGGTCCGATCCCTACCAAAGCAACAATAAAGATAAGTACTGTGTGTGTGTGTGTGTGTGTGTTTTTTAAATTTTATTTAACAAATTGTAAGTTTATTTATTTTTTTATTGTACTTTTGAGTGTACGCTTTTTGTGTGTTTAGTTACTATTACTTTAGGCCCTAGTCTATTGTATTTTGTGTTAACCTGTACAAAGTAACTTTTGTCAATACAATATGTACTCCATGTTAGGAGCAGCTGTACATGGCATCTGTTCCTCATGTCAGACATATTAGAGCTAAGTCCGTGGCCTGTTACTGAGTAGTGCTCCCAGTCTTAATGACAAAGGCTGACACATTCTACTTCAGAGATAAGAAAGAAGGTGTGGGATGTTCCAACAGATGGCGCAAGCCATCAGCAACTTAGTTAAACAATCAGGAGATGCCTTTTCTCCTTAAGAAGAGAAAGAGTCCTTACCTGGTCTGAATTAGGTTCAAAGTCAATCCTCTCTCCCAGCAGATGGGGTCTGGAGTCCCTGTACTTCACTTCCCTCATCTTCTGCTGTCCAATGTGTCGGATCAGCTGGAGTGCATCCGTCGGACTCTCCAGGTTGAACAGTTTCTCTTTGTTGAACCTGCCATTGTCCCTCAATGTTAGTCATAAGGTGACACAACCAAATATGTCAATTACTACTCATGTTAGAGTCTGCAGCAAAGGCTTTCATGTTATGTCCCTCAGTGTTAGCCATAAGGTGACACAACCAAATATTTCTTCAAATAAAAGACACTTCAACCAGTAAATCTTTTTTTTTTTGTCTCCACGTTTTGACAAAAATCTTTTGTCCTCGTCAGGAGAGAAAAAAAAATTAAAACATTTGGCAAAGCCTTAGAACGAGGACAAAAGATTTTTGTCGAAATGTGGAGACAAAAAAAAAAAAAAGATTTACTGGTCGAAGTGTCTTTTATTCAAAGAAATATGAATGCCGGCCAGGCAGCCTCTTATCTTTACGATAGGACCAAATATGTCAATCAATACTCATGTTAGAGTCGGCAACAAAGGCTTCTTCCATGTTAGGAACAGCCTCAAATTACAGTCAGACTTTCACCAAAGTGTGCTTGGATCATGGTGCCATGATCAACGAAAGCTGCCTCTCAACATTCCACATTAGATTAATACTCATGTTAGAGTTGGCAGCAAAGGCTTCCATGTTAGGAACAGCCTCAAATTACAGTCAGACTTTCACTAAAGTGTGCCTGGATCATGGTGCTATGATCAACGAAAACTGCCTCTCTACACCCTATTCCATGAGATTAATGGACTTATAGAATTCGTGTAATCTTTGCACATGGGGATAAGAAACAACAAAATACATTCAGTTCTTGTGTTAAGAAGACATCAATAGAATTTGGTCTTATCACTTTGTATTTCTTATCAATACAATACATGTGAAATCTTGTAAATGTTTTTTTTTTCTTATCCCTAGTACACATGATACAGGCCATGATAATCATGGTGGGTAGAAGTAGGCGACTGCTTTTACTGTAAGTGCATCACATGTCTACACATGTGAAAAGCAGTTCGAACTTGCATTTACAAATGTGCTAGAGCCCCATTTGGTTACTTACACTCGCTGGTGGGGTAGGGACTTTTGCAAGAATTGGGGCCCATTGGAGGTTGTTGTTTTTTTTTATTAGAAAAAAAGTGCCCAATGCGGGAATCGAACCTGGGTTGTAGCAGTTGAAAGCCAATGGTTTAGACCATCCTTCCACCGACCCACTCTTGTATATGTAAACACAAGGTAATAAGACCTAAGTCAGTGGCCTGAGTAGTGCTCCCAGTCTTGATGACATTCTACTTCACCCAGTGTGGAGATAAGAAAGAAGAAGACCAAATCCAAATAAATTGTGCCTTATCTCTTGTATATGAATTAAATACGGCAATAGGTATCTGGAGCTTTCAGGCATTACTGGTCTTCCACAGGAATACAAATCATTTTTCTATTCCTGTAGAAGGAGGGTCTTCTTCTCTCTTCTCTCCACTCAATCATATCAGGGTGTCAAAAGGAGGAGGGGGAGCAGTAACAAGCTCACTAAAAAACCCGGGGTCAGCTGGCCTGGCTGATAGTACCTTGTAAGGTATTCAGGGATACAGGATGAGCAGTGTTTGTACTCCATGTTAGGAGTGGCTGCACATGGCGTCTTTTCCTCATGTAAGAGGCGGCCATTTCTTTTGGAGCTAAGTCAGTGACCTGCTACTGAGTAGTGCTCCCAGTCTTAATGACAAAGGCAGACACATTCTACTTTGCCCAGTATGGAGATAAGAAAGAAGAAGAAGGGTGTCAAACTTGAGACTTTTGATGGTGTCTACTGGGGAAGAGTAGAGCTCATCAATGGATGAGTCAATACAGTCAATAGTGTGTTTTGGGGTTGCAGGTTGAGTAGGGCGGTAATACCTGAAACCTTGAGATTGTAATAATATTGAAAAGAAGCTCACATCGCCAGAAAACTGTTGCCTTATTTAATTCATATCAATAACGTGGTACAGACCATGATAATCATGGTGGGTAGAAGTAGGCAACTGCTTTTACTGTAAGTGCACCACATGTCTACACATGTGAAAAGCAGTTCGACTTTGCACTTACAGATGTGCCTGAGCCCCGTTTGGTTACTTGCACTCGCTGTTAGGGTCTAAATAGTACATCAATAGCTTTATTCTGATAACATATTGTATAGTGGCAACAGTCTTGGTTAAGAGGTCAATGAGGAAGGGGCAGATATTGTCAAAGCAATAATAGAATTGAGGAAACTCACCTTTTCTCTATAAATTTCGTGACACATTTCTTGATTTCTGGACGTCTCTTTGGAGGAAAACTTTCAAGACCCTGTAAAACATATTAGTTTCAACTTGGGCTCACACAGTCTTTTAAATAAGAATGATAAAGCACAACTTGTTGTTGTTTCTTATCCCCTTGTGTAAAGATTACACGAATTCCATGAGTTAATGCTCCTCGAGCTGTTTTATGATAAGCAGCGGCCTCTCCTAAAGGTCCTGTTTAGTGCATCTAATGCAAGCCAAAATGTGTTCTGTACTCACACATTTGGATTATAGCTCTATAAG